AAGATCTTGATTCCTGCTGAAAATTGCTAGAATCGGTCCATAATTTCATATACCTCCCATACAAAAGTACATATTCCCGGAAAATGAGTTTTTTTGTTAATAACTTCCGTCAGAATGTTGATATCTTCACAAAATTTTACAAATTAAAATCTTATATCAATAGAATTCATCACGAGAAAAAATTTTCTGGATCGGGCCATAATTGGACACAGATCCCATAAAAGGTCCCCTCCCGAAAATCACTTATACGCGCATAACTCATTACTAAATTGAGATATCCATATAAAATTTGGAACAAGTATTGCTCATGTGCACAGAAATATTACTGTGAAAATTTTTTCCGATCAGTCCATAATTGGTCATAGCTAAACACACATAACTCATTACTAAATTAAAATATCTATATAAAGTTTGGTACAAGTATAGCTCTCACATATAGAAATATTACAGTTTATTTTTTTTTCCGATCGGTCCATAATTGGTCATAGCTCCCGTACAAGGTCCCCTTCCGAAAATCACTTAAACGCACATAACTCATTACTAAATTAAGATATCCATATAAAATTTGGTACAAGTATTGCTCACATATACAGAAATATTATTATGGAAGTTTTTTCCGATCGGTCCATAATTGGTCATAGCTCCCATACAAGGTCACCTCCCGAAAATCACTTAAACGCACCACAGTGGTATAGGAAAAAAAAGGGAAATAATTCGGTAACTTCTAAACGGTTAATCCGATTTTAATGAAATTTGGTATGCACAAAGAGGAGGTGTTGTCGAGTTTAGGTTTTGAATTTGGACCTTATAGGCCAACCAGGGGCCCGGCGGGGGGTCCTCAAATTAGGACACCTCGGCTATGTTAAATTTTTAAAACGATCCTATTTCTTCATTTGAGTTCCGATTTACATAGCACTATTATTTTCATCCATACGGTTAACTCTTAAATTTGTTACATATATGGATGAAAATAATAGTGCTAGGTAAATTTTCTAAAAGATGTTTAGTTTTCCCTAATTAATTTGTCACTTAAAAAACATTAGGTAGGCATGTTATATATCAATGGAAAGGTAATTTTGTCTATTTTTCAAAACTGTATATAATTTTTGAAAATTAAAAAATTCGCGGAATACTTTTTTTTTTAAAAAATTAAAAAATGTTTTTTATTCAGTTTTTGCGAAGATACAAATTTTTCAAATTGCAAATTTTATTTATGAATATTTTTTGATGAAATTTTACAGTTAGGTAGATTTTTTTACTTAAAATCCAAAATTTAATAAAAATTTCGAATTTTCTTATTAGAAATCCCGGAATTCCCAAAAAAGTTTTAAAAATCCCAAAAATGGGATTTTTTGGTTTTTTGCCTATTATATCCATACCAGGGGCGGGGTTATCGAAACCCGTTACAAAATGATTAAGAACATATTGGGTCATATAAAACAGGTCACTATAATTTGATATCGACTATGCGATTTGAGAATTTTTGCTCAAAATTGAATTTTCCATAAAAAATAGGGTTTTTTTGGATGGACCTGGTCCCCTCGGTATCAAAAATTTTTAGGTTTTGTTTCATTTATCGTACTTTATGTAAAGTCAGCTTTCCAAAAAGTATAAATTCTATATACATCTTCTTAGAAACTTTTTAGATAACTTAAAAAGAAAAAGATACTGTTTTCCCAAAAAAATGACAAAAAATCGCCTTTTTTTTATTTTTTAAATTAAAATGCCTATAACTTTGGACTCAGTCATGATTTTTACACAATTCTTTCACTGCTTGATATATAAACTTGTTGTTAAGCGAATAAAAAAAAATGGCGAAAATCGGGAATATTTGGACCCGCTATTATCAAAAAAAACTAAAGTAAGGACGGTAAAAATTTAAAAATTTTAATTTTCAAATGCGAATATCTCCTAAACTATAAGAGATAATTTACTGCATTGACGACATTTTTTATAGTGCTCGATGAGGAGATTCTATATACGAAATTTTTTTTTATCGGAACTCAAATGAAGAAATAGGATCGTTTTAAAAATTTAACATAGCCGAGGTGTCCTAATTTGAGGACCCCCCGCCGGGCCCCTGGTTGGCCTATAAGGTCCAAATTCAAAACCGACATTTTTATAGTGCTCGATGAGGAGATTCTATATACGAAATTTTTTTAAATCGGAACTCAAATGAAGAAATAGGATCGTTTTAAAAATTTAACATAGCCGAGGTGTCCTAATTTGAGGACCCCCCGCCGGGCCCCTGGTTGGCCTATAAGGTTCAAATTCAAAACCTAAACTCGACAACACCTCCTCTTTGTGCATACCAAATTTCATTAAAATCGGATTAACCGTTTAGAAGTTACCGAATTATTTCCCTCTTTTTTTTTTTCTATACCACTGTGCGCACATAACTCATTACAAAATATTGATATCCACACATTTAACAAATATTGCTCTTATATACATAAATTACACTATAAAATTGTTTTGCAATCGGTCCATATTTGGTCATAGCTCTCATACTAGGTCCCCTCCAGAAAATCACTTAAATGCACAATATTCATTGCCAAATAATGATATAGATACAGAATTTTGAAATTTTGTCTTTAGCTACATAATTGGTCATAGCTCCCATACAAGGTCCTTTTACGAAAATCTCTTAAACGCACATTTTACATTACCAAATAAAGCTATTGATACAAAATTTGGCACAAATATTAGTTTGGTATACAAAAATTCTATTTAAAGATTCGGTCCATACGGTCGGTCCCATACAAGTGCCCCTTCAGAAAATCACTTGAACACACATTACTTATTACTAAATTACGATATAGATACAAAATATAGCTTTTATGTACAGAAATTTTGCTTAAAGAATATTTTACGATCGGTCTATAATTGGTCATATCTCCCATACTAGGTCCTGCCCATAAAAACAATTTGTGTAGAACAAAATTATATATATGTATTTTGAAAATCCTTAAATCTTTCACACACATGCATACATGCACATTATTAAATATCGTTAAAGCATATCTAAGGGCGCTATAAAAATATAAAAGAAAATGGGGTTTGTAATGTTTAACAAATTTTGGAATTGTAACAGATTTAAGCTGTTAATCTTGGGGTTTTTCTATTTAAGACACAAGAAAACTTATTTCTACAAATATTTGATCAATTAAAAAAGTATTAATATAAAAGTAGCTGGTGGAGGGTATTTAAGATTCGGCTCAGCCGAATATAGCACTCTAACTTGTTTTTTTTTAAAAAGTCCATGAAACTACTTTACAAAAGTATGCGAATTTTTCCTATATTTCATATTTGATCATATTATACGATACACAAATTTTAGAATCGCATGGTTTTATACTTAATATTGTTTTAAACGGTTACTATCAACCGCATGGATATATTTTTGACCCATTTGGTCCACAATTTTGGGGGATTTGTACCCTCTTTTCATGTAATATCATTAAAATGGCGATTTTTTTCCATAATTGTAAATTTTTCTCCTTTTTTCCAGAGATAAAACAAAAATTTGATATTGGGACTTAAAAGACCCCTTGGGGTATCTAAAAATAATATTTTTTGTTACAATAAAATGTATTTGAACGTTCAAAACAATATTACGCATGAAAATCATTTGATTCTAAAATTTGTGTTGCGTATAATATGATCAAATATGAAATACAGGAAAAATTCGTATACTTTTGTGAGGAAATTTCATGGACTTTTTTCTAAAAAAACCACAATTAATTTAAATCAATGCAAATTTTTCAAGTTTTGAAAAGCGTGATATCAAACATAAGGACTATTTAGACAATATAACAAATTAATTTATTTATTTTGCACACAAAATATATTATTAAATTTGGTTTCTTTTTATAGTTTACCCAAATTCGAATAATTATGAGAGACACTGTATATACTTATGAACTTCTTGTAGAATGGGATTTTGAGTAAATTCTTATTTATATGATTTTTTTTTTACACATGCACTGTAGCTGGTTTTTATCCAATTAGAGTTTAACTTTTATATTTTTGGAATATTTTTAATTCAATTATTGCTTAAAAGTAACGCCATCTTTAATCTTTTTCACTTATACGTTTCAATGTTGGCTACTCTGTTTTTTTTTGGAATCGATTGATTATTTGTATAATCTGTTAAAATTTTTATGCAATGTTGCCAGAATGAGGTTATATATACATATGTTAGATTATAGTGCTTTTCTGATTTGAAAATTCTATTTTGCTACCTTTGAATCAATTTAAGATTAATTAGATGTTATTTCTTGATCTCATTTTCTAATAACCAGCGGAATGTTTATGTTGGTATTGAATAGTTAATTTATTATGAAATTGTTTATTAGTATTATGAATTTTGTACATTCATTTGACATATTTTGGTTCCCCGCTATACTGTTTTTATTTATCTTTGATGTCTTTTAGTGAAAATATGGGTCCTATTGTTAGCAGTAACACTTCTATTGATAATTCTATGCAAGGATATGTTAACATACTTAAGATTGGTCATTTGAATTGTAGGAGTTCAGACCTTCTTCTAATTCAATTAAATTACACGAGTTGAAGTCTATCATTGGTTCTACATTTGACATATTTGCAATTTCTGAGACTTGGCTTGATGTAACTGTTTCTGACCGTGCTATTAATATTCCTGGCTATGTTTTTTGTAGGAATGATCGTCCTTCTAGAGGTGGTGGTGTGGGGATATTTGTTTCTAATAGGCTAAGGTTTAAATCAGTTTTTAGGGGGTTTGTTGCTGGAATGTGTGAATCTCTTTTTATTGAATTGTATTTTGCTAATATGAAAATATTATTTGGAGTTGTATACCTTCCTGGTGGTGATCTTAGTGTTTTTGATGATTGTCATCGTAGCCTCTTTTCTAAATATTTAAATATTATTGTATTGTTGATGATTTTAATTGTAATCTGTTTAACATTTCTAGATCTAGTATTATGAGATCTTTTTGTGTTCGGTCTAATCTGTCTATAATGCATAACTCTAGACCAACTCACTATGATGTAGCTAATGATTCTACGTCCTTGCTGGATTACTTTTTGCTTAGTGATGCCTCTTGTAATGTCGTTTCTCATCAGGTTCAGTGCCAATCAATATCGGATCATGCCCTAATATTTGGTTCCTTCAATTTTAATACCACATCACATAGAAAATATATTGAATATAGGGACTATAACAACATAGATTGGAACGGAATATTTTCATGTCTTTCTAATTTTAATTGTGATCCTTTACTTAACTCTACTTGTGTTGATATTAAGTGTGACTATTTCTCCTCTCTTGTTGCTGATCTTTTTGCATATGTTCCGATTGTAAAGAAGCGTATCTGGGTTAATTGTGATTCTTGGATGAATTCTCATGCTATATCTGTGGCTAGATCTTTAAGAGATATGGCTTATGCTACATATCGGTCTGATCGTTCTATTGAAAACTGGAGTATGTACTGTAGACTTCGTAATAAGGCTAAAAGTGTTATTAGGAGAGAAAAGAGGAAGTATTTTTTGCAACTTTTTGGTGGACTTGATACGGCTGGCTTATGGCGTGTTCTACGGAATTCGGGATGTGCTGGAGATAGTAATAATATGACATGGGATGGTGATGTTGATAGTTTAAACGAATTTTTTGCAGGAGGTCATGATTCTAATAATAATGTTGAATATAATCTTGATAATGTTCATAATTATAATAACACTTTTTCATTCCGCTGTGTGGATGAATTAGAGGTTGCTGAGGCCCTGAGTAAGGTGAAGTCTGGTTCAATTGGTCCTGACTGTATTCCTATCAAATTTCTCAAACTTATTTTTCCTCATGTTTCTATATTATTACTTGATTTGATTAATTACATTTTCTTAACATCCAGATTTCCAGTCTCTTGGAAAACTGCACGTGTTGTACCCATTCCTAAATCTAAAACTGTGAATACTCCTGATGATCTTAGACCCATCTCTATTTTACCAGCGCTGTCTAAAGTTGTTGAGCATCTCATTAACAGTCAGATGCTTCACTCGGTCATTGATAATATTTATCAATTGCAATATGCATTCCGGTGTGGTTTTAGCACTACGTAAATTTAACAAGCGTTGAAAATTTCATTGAGTTTTGTTTATAAATAAAGATTTTGTCTTATATTACATATTTGTTAAATTTCTAAAACTATGATTTATATCAAAATTTTAATAGGGTCGCAGATAGATACAACAATTTAGTCCATATTTATCCCTTAATATAATTTTTTTAGTTAGATATGGAAATTCTCGACCCTTTACAAAAAATTTCAAGCCAATATCTCAATTACATTCAAAAATATGTTCATTTAAACCTGTGTCCTTTAATTTCATCTTTTTCATATTTTAGTAACATTTGGTGTTGAATAAAATATTTGGACAATTTTTAAAAATTATTTAGTTAATTATTTTATTAAAGACTATAACATTGTATATACAATAAAAAAATTATAATTTTATTATGAGCCACGCACAACAACACCTAAATCACCCCACACAAACCACCTTTCCCGCCCACCGAAATATAAAACACAATTTAATACAATATCATTAGTTAGTATAATAGCTTTTTTTATTTGAACTGTTTATCTTAAACATAATAGAATTAATTCTTACAACCTACTTATATAGTTAATTCCTAACACTACTTATTTTCTATAAAATAATCTGTCATATCGGTATACATATCCAGAAGGTAATATAAGTCCTTTAAATCTTCCTTGTTTTGAGATGATAGAGTTTCATAACAAATCCATCTTTTTCGCATAGTTGAAAGAACAGGATCAGAAGATAGAAGTAAACTATTAAAAATATCTTCATTCTGTGATTGCCTGGAGCATTTTCTTGAGCTGAATAGTTGAACATGCTTAAAATCTCGATTCCTCGCTTCCTGGGCTTCTTCTGTTAACTCTCCAAGTGGAAGAATATTCGATTCAATTATTATTTGACCATGACACAATACTTTGTGTACTGTTGGTGTTAGTTCCCTCCATGGATACAGAGATACAAGTAATTTAGAAATTTCAGATGTATATTCCCCAAATCGATTTCCATTAATTTTATGTTTACTATTCAGTGCCATTAAAATAGTGTTAACTCTTCGACAGTGTGACCATTTTGGCATTTTTGCAGCTAGATTTAGCATTTTTTATTTTGATTTAGCTGTAAAATTTTAATTTAGCATTTGGCATTTTATTTAGAATTTTATAAAATATTTTTAGCATTTTTAGCTTTTTTTGCAATTTTAGTATATAAACAAAAAAAGACAAATTTTTGCAAAAAAGATTTATATTGGAAATAGGTTTAACCGGAAAAAATCAGAATTAAATGTCTACCCAAACACAAGCAAGAAGAAATATGAGAAATGTAATAATTTACACTGTAATTCAAAATAAAAAGATTCATGAAGATAAATAACTTAAAATTACGCCAATACAAGTGAATACTTTAAAATGTTGTATTCTAAAATATTTTTCTGGAACCCAATGCTTTTTTAAATTCGAGGTGATAGAAATAATTCAAGAGATTTCATATATTTTTACAAATACGTTCAGTACGCTATTTTACAAACTAATACTTTTTGTTTGCTCATGGAATGAAACATATAATTTTGGAAAAGGCTATGTATGACGGTTAATTAACAAATTTTATTTTTTCCTATACGAAATAAAGAGGTTTTAATTTTTATCATCCTTCAGGAGTTCTTGTTAATTTATTGAAAATAAGTATTGAAAAAAATCAATAATATATAATTAAGACTTTCTCATCCTACTTTCTGTTCTTTTTATTTTTACCAAATTTTTAGTAATTTTGTTGTCACGTTTTTTTTTTTATTAAAAAAAAATACATAAATTTCGAAAATATTATTGACAATTTATTCCAGAATTACAAACTTACGGATTTGAATATATCTCTCAATTCATTTCATACATTCTCATATATATTTTTTTCGAAAAAATCTTGGAAGTATGAGTTATAAACCTGACATCTATTCACCGAGATTTAAAATTATTTCAACGGAATTTTCAATATTTTTGTGACATGAAAACCATTTTTAAAGTGTTTTGAGGAAGACAAATAAAATTGTTTATATAAAAAAAAGTAAAACTAGAAATATTATACTTTTCCTTCCGAAAACACATATAGGTTTTATACCATGAGCAACTAGTGTAATTAATAGAGTTTTAATGTAATTTTTGCATTCAGAAATATTTTAAAGTTAGAGACATTACATATTGCTAAATTTACAAAAATTTTGAAATAATTTTTAGCATTTCTGTTTATCTTAATACCACGGAACTTAATTTTTTACCCTACTCCACTATACTACGTTTGAGTATACTAATCGGTTAAGAATCATTTTCTGAATCGATTAAGCCATGTAAGTCTGACCGTCTGGTAGAGGTTGAAATTTTCAAAACAATAAGCACGTATGCTTTTTGATCCAATGACAAAACCTTTTAAAAATGGTTAAAGTCCGTCCTTTATTTTACCTAGCCCCCATACATATACAAATGTATAAAGTCTTTCTCAGAAAATTAGTTTAAATATATCGGAACCAAGGTTCAATTCAACATAAATGCTTTATTACGAAAAATAAATCAAATTTTATACTCATATGGTCAACCACGGCAGAATATACTTTCTTACTTGATATAAATTACAATGAATTTCAGTTACAAATTAATATGAATTGTTCATAAAAACACTTAAAAAATTTTAGCATTTTTTTTGGCATCAATTTAGCATATTTTCTAGCATTATTTTGGATGGGATTTAGCCGTAACATTTTTTGAGACCTGGTCACACTGCTCTTCGAAGCAACTCCTTGTTGATTCCAGTTATTTTTGAAGTAATTTCAAAATCACGAAAAAACCTTCTCGCCGTATTACCGTCATTTGTACTACCGCAACTTGGAAGTGGTTTGTCGATGTTTAATCCCATCTGAACTTTAAATTCTTCTTGGATTCTGCTTTTTTCCGCAGCTCTCAGTTCTTTCAATTCTTCATTATTTTTTGTTGATTTAGTAAGATTCTCTGGCACACTTCTATATTTGAGGTCATATGCTATGTGTAAAAAGTAATCCAAAAATCGTATTCTGGCATGAAGTCGTGAAATTCCGAAAGACAGGACTTCTTCATTAATACTTCTGCTTTTGTTTATATTTGAGAATTGCGACTTTTTCTCATTACATATTGAGCATCTCCAGAAGGAAGAAGTTTCTGTTATGGCATTGCTGACCTTTCCATCAATCATTGTTAAGCTTAGCTGATATGATACGTTAATAGAGAATTCCTTTATTTTTATGCAAATGGGCTCCAGTGCATTTATTTCATCTTTTAAATATTCCACTAAATCTTTTGTTGTTTTCTTTGACTCCTTTATATATTCAAATCCAATGGGTCTACAAACATTTTTTGAACCCGGAGTTGTATTGATGATGATGGATTAAGGGAATATGAACGAATTCGTAATGGCACTAATGATGACATAAATTCACTTTTGTAGTCTGCTAATGTCCGACTTCCACAAGCTTGTTTGTATTCTGGAAGTGCTGATAAACCGTCACATCCCCACTTACACATTAAGACAACATCACAGTTATGAATTTTCCTTAGTTGGTCTTCTGAAAAGTTTGACACAATTCTTGATGCTGTGTTTTCGAGCAAAGATGATATATCAATACAAGCTTCCACATCATTAACAGCAATAGGAGATGGTAGGATAGTTTGTTTTTTTTCCTGGATCGCCTTGTATGATGGTAATATATTGTGTTCTTTTTCATGCAGAGCTTTCCTTAATATTTGGTACTTATTTCGACTGAGACCCAGTTCCAACATAAGCGCTATTGCTTCCTCTTCAGTAAAATTTGATTGTGATGTTGGAGTTGGTATACTTTCCACAATTCGCTTAAGTCGTTTTGCATTAGGAAGAATAGTTGCAATATGTATGGCATCCATAGGTTGGTTTTCCTTTTTCAGCATTTCGTTAAATGTATCAGCAATTTCCTCATTTGAGATTGAAAAAAGTTTTTTTTGACCTTGAACATAAGTCTTCGTATGACTTGCAAGGCGCTCCTGTTGATGTGTTGTAAGTTGAGATTTCCGAAGTAGTTTCCATCCAACTACAAAATTTTAATCGAAATTTCTTTTGATTTCCATCCACAGACTTACTTTTTACATCAAAAAGTTTTAAAAAGTTTTAAATTTTTGATATGACTATTTTGTCTACTTTTCTACTATATGTAGTTTTTATATAATTTGAAATGTCTTCAATTCTTTCTGGCCCTTTTGGAGATACACTCCATAAAACGGAACACAACTCTTCGTACTTTAATGTAATCTTCATTGTAGATTTATTAAATATGGTACTTAAAATATGAGAAGTTTACTTATATACCAATTCTTGTCATTTCCGATACAGGTATTCCAAAGTAAAAAATTACGAATTGTCTACCTATTAACATTTAGGACTATATTCAGTCATTGATATTTCTTATTAGTGAATGAATCGAAATTATCATTACCTGTATATTTTTACCTACATGATCATAAACGAAACAGAACGAAATGATCTGTCGAAAAATTTAGGTAAAAAATAGTTATAAATTTTTGAAAATTTAAGCATAATAGGACCTTTCAATTATAAGGATAAGCAAACAAATAGAAAATAGGTAAATATAAGATTTAAATATGTTCTGTCATACTTAATACTAAAATATGAAAAAGATGAAATTAAAGGACACAGGTTTAAATGAACATATTTTTGAATGTAATTGAGATATTGGCTTGAAATTTTTTGTAAAGGGTCGAGAATTTCCATATCTAACTAAAAAATGATATTAAGGGATAAATATGGACTAAATTGTTGTAGCTATCTGCGACCCTATTAAAATTTTAATATAAGTCATAGTTTTAGAAATTAAACAAATATGTAATATATGACAAAATCTTTATTTATGAACAAAACTCAATGAAATTTTCAACGCTTGTTAAATTTGTCATTTCAAATAAGAAAATGCATGAAAAGGTCAAAGGGCATCCCGCAATTCCCAAAAATAGGAA